GTGGCTTAGGAGAGCCTTTTTCCCTTTAGACTTTTCTCATAGATTTTGGTTAACCCCAAGTTTTCTTTGTAATTATTATTTTAATTAAGTATATCCTGCAAAGAAACTTCACTTGAAATATCTTAACTCTTCCTGACACCCACGTGAGATAATCAAGCAATTTGGGAGCTAGAATTTCCTAAATTCATAAGTCTCAGTCAGTATAACCTGATTTGGTATGCTAGCATATATTTCTGTGCCTGATGCTTTACTGAGAAGAGCATTAAAGCAACAGACAGATGATAAGGGTTCTGTTTTTTAAACTTCTTCATAACTTGGTTGAACATGATAGATTGGCTGGCTTATTCATTTAAGAATGATCAGCAATATTACTTCCCATAAAGGAATGTTAAGATGATTCATAACAGATTTGAAACGTGATTTTAGCTTCCTGTATAAATGTGTACAAATTTATAAGTTTGACACGCTTCAATTTTCTACCTTGGAAATATCCCCTCTATGCCCACAGGGAAATTTAAATTTGTACTTCCCCCCAAATTTAGTGACTTTCTTTGTGTATATACATTTATATTGCTGGAGAAGCACTAAAGTGTAGTAGCTGAGGATTTAGGTCTGGGTTAGAATAGCACCCCTGCCTTTTACTACATGTGAATTTTCAAAGTTACTTAAATTGTGTCTTCATTTTTACAGTAATTATGTTAATGGACACAAAACACTTAGAACAGTGCCTGGCAAATAGTAAGTATTCATTGAATGTTAGCAGATAGTATTATCATTGCATCATTTCTCAATCCGAATTATTGTTTACACCATGTACTCAGTAATTCCCTTCAAGAATGAAATAGCCATGTGGCCAGAAAATGGTCATCTCTGTCCCTTTCCCTTTGAGTTAAAATTTGTTTTCCAAACTTCTGTCATGAACTTACTACGTTTGTGTGGTTTTTCCCCCATTTCATATAGCACATATTACTTATTTAGTTATATTATTTATACTTAAAACTTCATTGTAAAGAAAAATGAGCTTATAACTTTTGATGTAAGTTTTTTCCTATTAAACCATAAGATTATGTAAACAACAATTAAAATAAAAACATTTAGCAGCTAAAATAATCTCCTGTGCCCCTGACAATATGTACACAAATTACTATGAAATGAAATATTGCCTTAAAGGAAATCTGTCTATAGGTGTATGGAAGAGGTCATTTAGAGGATGGTGGGTTATTCTAACCATCAAAATCTAGTAGTGGTAGGGACAAATGAGGGCATGGACTTGGCCATGGAAGATGGGAAGACTGACACAGGGGAATGTCTAGGTGGCCAGTCACCAATATTGTGGAGACACTAACTCACTAATACTTTCTCTAACATTTAAAGCTTGAGGGACTTCATATTGCCGGGAGAATGCCTTTCACCTCAAGACTAGAAATCCAGCCAGATTTCAAGGAAATAGAACAAGAAAACTCCCTCTACCCCAGAAATCTTCCACCTTGTAGCTGAACATAAACCATATACATTAAATGATCAGAGTGGATTGTAAAACCTAGTAAAATGAGTAGTATTATCTCATTGTAAGATTGTTTTTGTTGTAGGTGTCATTGAGTTGGTTCTGACTCATAGTGACTCTATGTATGACAGAACAAAACGTTGCCTGGTCCTGCACCATCCTCATAATCATTACTACGCTTGAGCCCATAGTTGCAGCTACTGGGTTAATCCATCTCATTGAGGGTCTTTCTATTTTCGCTGACCCTCTACTTTACTAAGCATGATGTTCTTCTCCAGTGACTGGTCCCTCCTGATAACATGTCCGAAGTATGTAAGACGCAGTCTTGCTATCCTTGCTTGTAAGCAGCATTCTGACTACACTTCTTCCAAGACAGACTTGTTCATTCCTCTGGCAATCCATGGTATATTCAACATTCAAGTCAATTCTGACTCATAGCAACCTTATAGGATAGAATAGAACTGCCCCACAGGGTTTCCAAGGAGTGACTGGATTAGTGAATTCTAAATGTCTAACAATATAAAATAAATTCCTGGTTCCTCAATAGGTTTAAATACCAAATATATATACACTGAATATACATATACATATATTCTCCAACTAAGGCACCGGGAAGAAGCTGAAATATCAGTGAGTAAAAGGTGGGAAGTCCTGGTTTCTAGGATCACTCTCCCATTAACTAACTATTCTGCCTCTCAGTCTCCTAATGCATAAGACCTTTCATTTCAACATTAACTAAGCATCAGCTAAGGTTATCTTATTTAGGTTAATGCTTTGTCCTTGTTGTTAGTTTCCATGGAGCTGATTCCCACTCATGGTGACCCTATGTGTTACAGAGTAGAACTGCTCCATAGGGATTTCTTGGGCGTAATCTTAATGGAAATACGTCCTCAGGCCCAGGCCCTTTTTTATGCAGTACCGCTGGGTGTGTTCGAACTGTTATTTGAGGTTAGCAGTGGAACACAAGCCATTTGCACCTTTAAAATTGTCTAAGAAATAGGTCACTATTTCTCACTTGCATTACAACATTGCAGTCAAAAGGAAGTTTTCTACAGGAACTCTCTGCACTATTTCTGCAAATTTTCTGTAAATATAAAATTATTCCAAAATGAAACATTTCCAAAAAAAAAAGTTTTTTTTTTGTTTGTTTGTTTGTTTTAATATCTGTTTGGCTTTTTCCACAAAGTAATTCAGAAGCATGGGCTCTTTTCATATTGCGTCTTCATCATCCCCTAGAGCCTCCACCAATGCTTACTCCCAGCCAGCCCAGAAGGAAAAGAGAACATGGAAGGAAAGCTCTCAGCCTTGGCCAGGGAGTGGTTCACATGATTTCTGCTCTCATTCCATTGGCCTGAACTAGTCATATGACCACTCCTAACTTCAATGCAGGCTGAGAAATGTAGTCAAGATATGTGCCCAGGGAAGAGAGGACAGAATTTTGGTGAACAACCAACGGACTCTGCCACAGTCTTCCTTCCCCTTTGCTGTAGATCAGTTTGCATCTGTCTTTCAACACTCAGAATGCATGTATCCACCTCCCCAAAGAAAACAACCAAAAGTCTCATCCAGTTACTGCATACAGCTCAAATTCCAGAATCTCTAGTGATAAACAGCTCTCTCCCTCAGGCCCAGATCTCTGCCTGTGGTCCAGTGGTTTGGACCTTAAAATATAAGCTCTCTGTTCCAATTTCTCCACCACACCCAGTAGACAATGGTAGAGCTAGAAATTGGTAACAGAAATATTAATGAATGAATTAATACTTCTCATCTGTTAACAGAAAGAATGGTAAACTCAGGCAACTGTCAATGGACCAAAACATTGATTAAATCCTGGTGAGGAGGCCAGTTGAGTCTCCTACCCTAGCAATGGGGACAGTCCCTGTCTCTGCCTTCTAGAAAGATTCTGTGTATCCATTGTTTTCCAGGGATTCTGGCTCCACTTTCTGGGGGCTCTTCCTTCTCCATTATCCTCCATAGGCTACATCTGAAGGGGACACTGGGGAGTATAGCCTCCATGAATGTTGTACTGCCTTATATCCCACTTTCTGTGGAGCAAATACGGAACTCAAGGGTTGTTTAGAGTCAGAGGTTTTGAGACCAGACTTCTAGATTCTATGGTAATATAATTTCCTCAAAAGTGATCTAAATCCTTTAATCAGTTATAATTGCCAGTAACCACAGTCAAACACAGCCAAAGTTCTTTTCTAGACATAGCACTCAACATGTTTATTTTTTTGTTTCCTCCTACACTTCACTCTCTCCTCTACCTTTCTATCTTTCCTTTGTGTAAAATACTAGAAAATTCCTGTTTAGTATAATAGTATTATTACTAAGAGCTTCTGTTTAAGTTATCAAACTGTATAAGATTTAATTATAGATTCTTTCTCTTTTTCATTTTCTTATAGAACCTGTCTATGATACTACTTTAGGAGAAAGAACAATACAACATTTGTTTTATTTGTTTCAAAAGTGGTTGTAGAATGATTTTTGTGTATTTACATAAATCTGTAGAGTGATTTTTGTGTATTCACTGGTTCTGAAAAGCTCAGCTCACATCATAAACAAAAAATGTTTCAACATTAAATATTTTCCGGTTACTAGTACCGCATAACAAATTACCTCCCCTCTCAAAAAAAAAAAAAAAA